CCTGCCTGGCGCTCGGCATTAATGGGTACAACAAGGACTGGTCGGCTCGGAGTCAGTATAATGTGTCTGAGTGGGGTATCCATGCTTCACTGCGGCATGGTATCTCAGTGGGCTAGCGCTATAAAACCAGCTTAAGTCTGGGCTAGTACAAGCAGCCGCACATACACATACACACGCATGCACGTCGTCATATGAGCGAATTATTCTCCAGCGCGACGTTAAACCCAATTTCACCTCACCTCATTTATACCTACGAATCCACGTGGGTCCAAAATATTCATTTACACCTTACACTGTGGTAACATATGTTATATTTGGGATTACACTTTTTTAGTAAAGTACAGATTCTAGTACTTTTTTGACCCGTGAAGATCCGGGGTAGAATAGGTCTTCAGCAACCCATTCTTGTCATAAAAGGCGACTATGCTTGTCGTAATAGGCGACTAACGGGATCGGGTGGTCAGGCTCGCTGACTTGGTTGACAGGGTCATCGGTTCCCAGTTGCGCAGATCGATGCTCATGCTGTTGATCACTGGATTGTCTGGTCCAGATTCGATTATTTACAGACCGCCACCATATAGCTGGAATATTGCTGAGTGCGGCGTAAAACTAAACTCACTCACTCACTCTAGTACTTTTGGGCAGTCTAGACTACCAGTTGTCCGACTTCAATTTTTGTGGAAGCCGCGGTGGCTGAGCGGTCTAGGCGTCTGACTTTGTGTGCTTGCGTTTAGGTGCCAGACTCTGAGGGTTCAGGTTCGAATCCCGGATGGGACTCAACCCAAAAAGTACTAGAATCTGTACTTTACTAAGAAAGTGTAATCCCAAATATAACAAATGTTACATTTGACCACTTTCTAAAATGGCATTGTGTATTACACTGTGGTCATATATTTCTATGTATTAACAGTATGAAATGATATCGTCATAGTATCGATATGTTAGTTATATATTATTTATATAATGAGGTTATTGTCATTATCTTGCCAACTCAGGTTATCAAGATCGCTATGTCAAATTATACTGGTTTTCATTCAGTACAGCATCTCTATAATTCTTCAAACACTCCCGAAATTTAGTTGTAAGTGTATGTATTTCTAAATCTTTCTCTACTGAATCTTTCACAATTGATGTGGGTGTTTTTACATGTCCCTAGCTGATCAGCCAATCAGAACTCTCCAAACAACGGCACTGATAACAGTGGGTTTTCCCTAGCAGCTTTTGTAATTGCGCCTTTCGCCGTCAGCGGTTGTTTACGAGCAGTTTGTTCCATAATCTTTCAGTAAACGACCCATATCACTGATACATTGTATACAAACAGTAATGTATCCATGTATGTATTCGATATCACATGTCGCGAGACAAACGGGCACGCCCATACATTTTATTTTGTCTGCAGGAGTGACCATAGTTTCCATATATTGCTATCAGAATGGTCAGAAGGAAGTACATGTATAATGTTAGTCTTCTGCTACTGCTGACACTGATACCACAGTTAGGTTCGATATGTACAACTATGCTAGTTGTTTCAGTACAGTGAGTACTGTGCGTGAGTGAGTGAGTGAGTATGGTTTACGCCGCTTTTAGCAATATTCCAGCAACATCACGGCGGGTGACTCCAGAAATGGGCTTCACACATTGTACCCATGTGGGGAACGGAACCAGTGTCTTCGGCGTGACGAGCGAACGCTTTAACCACTAGGCTACCCCACCGCTCTTGTTTCAGTACAGGGACTACACATTATCCACATCTCTTCCAACACTCACGAATTTAGTTTATTTAATATCATGTATTTCGAAACTGATGCCTAGTGTTTGTTTATCTCCTTCCCCCACTGTTAATCAGAGTCTGGTAAGCAGGAGGGGCGTGGTCTTCCTGAAACACGAATCTGAAGTACCCTTTGCCGCTTTTAGGTCTCGACAAACACAACCCGGACCTCCCGCAATCTCAGCTGACCTTTCACGTCATGTGACAGTCAATATAAGACTATATATAGTCATTTTAGTTACCTACGTGTCTAATTATAGCTTGGAGACTCACGAAGCACCCGACCTGTGGGCCAAGCATGTTTAGCTGAATGAAATGTCTCCAAGTATGACAGACGTAACTGGGTCACGTGTCACGTGAGATATGAATGAAACTCGCGTCATGTACATATCAATGACATCAAACGATCAGCAGTTAGAATAGGAAGACTAAACACTATCACGTGTACCCGGAGAGATAAAGTCAATGGCGTATACACGTCAAGGAATGACAAGGAATCATTCAGATGAAAAACGTATGTATTAAATCAATTTTGATCTTACTGAAAATCACTACTTACTTTGACTCCATAACGCCGCCCAAGAGAGTCCGGTTAATCGGTGTCCTCTCAATGAGCCAGATTCTGTCAAAACAGGGATTTGGCTGACTAGGGTTAATGTTTTGATAAATATTGGCCCAGGTGAGCCATAGTCTGTATCACAAAATGCTAATTTAGACGGTTAATCCTTGGGCTCGATCGGCAACAACGGGGAGACCCCACATATTCCACAGGGACTGAGTGAGTGAGTGAGTTCAGTTTTACGCCGCTTTTATCAGTATTCCAGCAATATCACGACTGGGGACACCAGAAATGGGCTTCACTCATTGATCTTCGGCGAGACGAGTTAACGCTGTAACCACTAGGCTACCCTACCGCCCCTATTCCACAGTCAGCGTTATACGTTGATTACTTGTTCATTTTTCTATATCCTATGTAGAGCACTCTCCTTTATTTTGTAGAAGCTTGTTGGAGAGTCTTTGTTTGTTGCCTAAGGTTGCACTCGGCAATATTCCTTTTTATATGATAGCGGTGTGTAAATAAGTGAGGCAAGACCGAACAATCCAGTGATTTTCATCGTGACCATCGATCTTCGTACGTATTTTGGATACGACGACATGCATCAACCGCATCGGCGAGACTGATCATCCAATGACGTCATGAGTTGCGTAAGACCGATTCAAACCTTGAGTATTACTATTTTATTACCTTCGAGGGCGAAAATATTGGGGTTCATATTTTCATACGATGCCCTAGGGCAAAATATCACTTTGTCATGGTGACGTGACGTCATGAACAATGCTATGACGTCACGTTTCTTCTGTGACGTTGCGTTCTACATGCGGCGACGGCGGGTTGTCAGCCTGTGTTTGAAAGCAGATTTGGGTATATTTTCAATTTGACGACTTCGGTAATAAACAGAATATTATATCCGTGTCCATATCATACTATGTTTACGACACGAGTGCCTACATGTTGGTATTGCCCGAGCGAGGGATATACCGATATTTAGGCACGAGTGAACAACTAAGGGAGGTCACACTAATTTACGAGCGCTTCAATATTAGCTGCCACTACAGATCATCAGAAATAAACTGTGACAAACATACAGCCACTTAACACTGTACGTGTACGTATTATATGCTGTATATTGATACATTAAGGGTGGAGGGTGGTGACAATACGTGTATGTATTATGCTATATCTGGATCTACTGTAGCATAATACTGTCTTTTTATGTCTTTGTGAATCAACTTTGAAAGTGATTTTCAGTGTAAGATTATGAAGACCGATTGGAAAATACGAAGCAAGAACATTTTGCTTTCTTTCCGAATAACTTCGCCACTCATGAAAATATCGCTTTTGTCGTGTCACTTAATGAAAAATGGTGTTACCAAATATCCTCTATTTCATGCTGGAATATTTGTCTGGTTGCTTGAGAAGGTCAAAGCTGACCTGAAAATGACATTATATATTTCGTCGATTTAGGCACATGCTTCATCCTTGGCATACTATATATTTGATGTGACGAAAGAAAGAAATGGCACAGCGAAAGAGGCTGGGAATGAAAAATAACACAGTTTTATTTTTTCGAAAAATAGATTTAATTGATCTGAAAACAGTTTAGGGACTGGTCATTTATGAAAGGGATTTGGGTATGAATTTTCATTATTTGACAGGAGGGCATGGAAAATGTTACATGAAGTGGGAGATCGTGCAGTAAAATATGACTTAGTCCCAAGACCAGTCCATGCACCTCCAATCCCCTCCCCAATTATAAATGACCAGCCTCTTAGAAACTATCTTGTCTTTTGAAGAATGTCAGTAGATCTGCACTCAAGATTACTGACGTTATTTCGGCAAGCATCTTTCTTCATCGTTATAACACCCCAGTAACCGGTGTTTATGGTAATGTAAGTAGATATAAACTTTATATCTACTTATGCGGTATATGCACTAATATATATTTGTCACGTAGGTTCGGTACCGTCACATCGGCGGCTTATATAAATCACCTCACCACAATCTACGCACATCATAAACGCCCAATAAATCTTTTCGGAACTAACAGGTTCACCCTACCAACAAGTAAACACACAAAAACCAGTCTCATGTCTGACTAGATGTCCCCAAGGTTGCTGGTTTCATCAAAACGGCAAACAAATAAAGTTTAAACGTGATATAAATTAACTGCTGTTCGAAGCGATGTTAACCCAACTTATTCTTTCACCCAAGTTAGATTCAACTGGATTACAAAAAAGTGAAAAATGGCTTTTTTTTGGTTGTCCTTTTGGTATTAATAGTACGCCACTTTTTTTCGTTTTACCTTATTTTTCGTTTGGTTTTATGTTCAGAAAGGATTGGGATTTCAAAACTGAAAACCTGTAATAATTCGTAATTCCGAGACCAAAAGAACAAAGATTGGTTGTATTGCAGTTGGCTGTGAAATGTCAATCATGACGACACCACGAGCAATCATCTGATGAACGGCATTGTATAAATAGGGATACTTAGTCACGTTTTCCCATCAACAGATTAGTCAGTGTATGAATAAAGAACTAATAATTATATATACCATAAGAACGATATGAACTCTCTACAAACTGCATGCCAGAAGCTACCGTCTACGATTTCTGTTGTTTTGTTAAAATCTGACAGCTCTCCCACGTGAGATAGTTGTATGACATTCCTAAACTTGTGACGTCACAATCACGAGCGGCCATTTTGGCGAAACAGGAACACCGACCATACGTTTGTGTGGAGTCTCGCTGATACAGCGAGTTTAACAAAACTGCAACGATCAATGTGCAGAAACATCGTGGTAAGTCAGTTCTGATCACTCCTAAGTGTGTATATTCTTCGTTATGTAAAGATACGACATACAGTAGTTTTTTAGTTAGGCCGAACTCCTCTTCGGATGGCGATGGTAAGTCACGAATGTTCATCACCTAAACCAGCCATGTTGTCTTGTTTGGGGAAGGTTTTGATGTCTAGATTAACTGTAAATGATTTATGCAGTTATATTGTGGGAAGAATTCTCTTATGAAAAGGTTAGGTGTTGTGTTTGTTCGGCTTTTCCCGCTCAGGAAGTGCGGACCTTCCCCGCCGAAATGACAGCTGTCTGTTGTCAGTTATGAGACAATCCGAGACATCGATGTGAAATATCACCCGAGTGGTTACCAGCCAAAAATGCAGCAAAATGTCATATTTATGTTACAACTTGGTTACTGTTCTTCGTGAAGTCTCGTACATATGTTTGTTGGGTGTGGATTAGTGAAATACTACCTCACACTCCGAGTTTTTGTCCCCTCCTGTTCTGTCAAGATAGTGTCATCTAATAACGTCCACAGCTCATCTGACAAATATTGGCATGAATAAAATCAACTCTGAAATACATAATTTATTAACATTACTTTTTACTGGCGAAATTGTCATGCCGAATCACACATGTTCTCTGTATCAGGAATGTTTTAGGCCTAACCAAAAGTAACCATGGTAAGCCATACTCATCACCCAAGACTGACCATAATACACAGTCTGTGCCAAAACCTTTTGACTTAACTACCTTGGCAAGTATTATTTCAACAGATTTTAGACGAGTGGCCAAATCAGCTGACCATGTATGTATACTTGATATGGGAGATATGATATGTTTTGTCCAGTCTGCGATCGTACAGTTGTAGCCACTACTCCCATGCTAGAGTCTGCTAAATTTTGTTTCAGTCAAGTAAGATAAGCTTGTACTAGCCCATATACAAAGACCTGACAATGATACCAAACGACAAACTCAATCTGGTGGAGTTAATAGGTTTTGAAAAAATATTTTTTCTCAAATTGGAGCCTTTTGGGATGTCAAGAATTTACAATGGGTCCACTTAAAATCATATAAAGGCCCCATGCAACCAAAAAAAACAACCATAATTAAAACACAATTATCACTTATTCATGACATATAATATACATTGCTGATAATGAAAAAACCCAAATAAACAAAATTATAAGTGTACAATTGCAAATCAAAAGTGCAAAAGTTTGTACTTGGGTTTACTTCCCTCGAAACGAAGCACCCGGGATACCAAACCCAGTCAGAGCGGGTGGGAGTGCACTTAAAGTGTAACGAAGCCTTTCTTTGGCTGGTTCCTTTGCCGATATGCTTGGGCTCTTTGTGTGTGTATAGAGATGTTGGGTTTTGTAAATACATGCTCATTTTGTGTGTATAACATTTTGCAATCAACAAACATCATTTCATGTCATGTGTTCAAGTATCACACCTGCCTGTCTGTGTAATTACGTAATGTGACAGAGACCAAACTCGGGTGCACGAGCCATAAATCAATGTTTTTTGTTTATGGTGTATAGTCAGTGATCAAAGTTGTAAATTGCATATTGTCATTAGCAGACAGGCAGGCAGAGACATAGGTGTCAATAAAACAGACATTGAGTTTTGTCTGTGACAGAGGCATATCCATATGACAGTTTGAAATTCTGACAATACTAAATAATGACGTTGCTTTTAAGTATCAAACTGGGAAAGTGACTCTGTAAGAAGAACGTGTCCTTAACAAGGTTCTTTTATGTAACGAGTAGATTATTTACTATTAATTTGCGCGGTGGGGTAGCCTAGTGGTTAAAGCATTGGCTCATCACGCCGAAGACCTGGGTTCGAAGCCCCACATGGGTACAACGTGTGAAGCCCATTTCTGATGTCCCCCACCGTGATAATGCTGGAATATTGCTAAAAGCGGCGTAAAACCAAACTCAGTCAGTCAGTACTATTAATTTTGTTGTTTGTGTACACAACCAAGATTAGACTACTCCTGCTCACGACCTTATATTCTGAGGATCCTCGCTTCAAGCTGCGCAAGCCTATTCACTGCGCATGCGCCATGAGCGCAGCACAGCTTTTGAAACCACTTTTCACCCCAGCTGGGGTAAATTTAGTGAATCGTTTGAACTCCGATTTCGTGGGATTTATTTTCATCGCGTTATTTTTCAACTTTATAAGTTGAATTTGCATTTTTGATAATTTGTTACTGTAAGTCCATACCGAAAGATATCAGAATCTGCAAAGTTATGTGTTACGTTACATGTGACCTTTAATGTTTATCTGATAACTCTGAAAATGTAAGATCATGATAGCTGCAGAACAAAAACAAGATGATGTCTTTCAGTGGCATTTAGAAGTTGTACATTGATGTCCAAGATATTTTTATGGATTAAACTTCTTTTTTAATTTCTCTCACAACGTTTTGAGACCATTCAGGTCCCTTCATCAGGTGCATAGTGTTCACCTGATGAAGGGACCTGGAATGGTCTCGAAACGCTGTGAGAGAAATTAAAAAAGAAGTTTAATCCATAAAAATATCAAAAACAAGATGCTTTAAATTTCATAATCATTTTTAAAAACAGTGAAGAACCTAAACTCAGTACATTACTTTTTACATTTATTTGTTTAAATATGTTAAATGAAACTTTTCACGAGCTTCTAAAGTGAAAATACTTCCACAACCCTGAAATTAATTTTCTATTTTTGTAGTCTGAGTAAATCAACTAATATATAATGTTATCTCACTAAACCAGAAGATTTTTTTCTAGCCGCAGCTTTTGCAGCACTGGTTGAAGTGCGAGCTCGTTGTTGATTAACAGTCACAACAAACAGTACCTGTGAAGGGTTTCTCATCAACACCATCAATGTGCTCAGTTCAATGTTCAGTCTCCTGTGAATATGTTATGGTTAAATCAGTAGTTTGTTATTTGGTATTGTTAAAGTGTAACTGCTCCAGCTAAAAGTCATGGTTTACCTGCTTAGACCTACTTGCTCCATGAAGTTTATACCTTGACATACTTGTGGTGAACATGAAAACTGAGATAGTCATCATTTTAAACACTGAAACAGGGCGGGTGGTTAAAGCGTTGGCTTGTCACGAAGACCCGGGTTAGATTCCCCACATGGGTACTATGTGTGAAGCCCATTTCTGATGTCCCCCGCCGTAATATTGCTGGAATATTGCTAAAAAGCAGCGTTAAGCAATACTCACTCACTCACTCATTTTAAACATGTTAAAATATGTGTGAGTTTAAACTTTCGATATTTGAAAGGTTACTGCTTATGAAGAGACTGTGAGGATGCCACAAAAGCTTTATGTTGTAATCTGTTGTGACATCTAATCTTATGAAGGTAATAATTAGTATTTTGTATAAGTTCAACTATAAGCATGATAAGAAAGAAACACTAGCTTTCTCTTTAATTTGCTTCAAATAAAAAGACATGACTGAAGCCAGTTTACTCTGTGCAGCGCTTGTGTGGAGCTCTGTTGTTTCAGTTTGAGAATTTATTTGAACTGATGGTGTTTTACCACACTCAGAAATAATATCATGTGTGTTTTAAAAACATACAGAACCATTGACTTACTGTCCTTTTAATTTGACTTGACCTTAGCCTAGTTTAGAGGTAAGCAAAAATACTGCCAATAAATTCAAGAAGGTTTGGTAAGACTGAGTATATGGATTGTTGTATTGTAATTTGTATCCAGTAAAGTGAGTAAAACACTTCAAGTTTCTCTATAAATGTTATTTATAGGATCGTACATAGTTACGGATGTAGATTAATGGTAGGACTGCACTGTGTTACCGGAATACTGAAATATGTTTTTAAATGATATGAGTTGCAGTATTTTTGCTGGTGTGTTGTGTAAAAGAATATAAGTATAGTTATTACCTGGATTGTATAACCCAAAGCCTACACTGGAATATTCACAAATGATGTTTCCTTTAGAAATTGATTGACAATACCGTGGAAGTGATTTACCTCACGTCCTTATCGCACCTGTAACCATGACTACAAAATAGTGTCGACTTACCTTGCTGATTTTGACATCATAATATCTACATTAGTATGTAGAAAACAGGGTCTGTAGTGCTATCAGTGTCAATCACTGTCAAAAAGTTCAGCTCGCAATATATTGCAATAGGTATCAGAGTACATTGATGCACAATGTGTTTTGCCATTACAGAGAATTAATTATTGGTAATTTCTCTGGTTTCATTTCAGTATTTAAACAAAGGTTACAGGATAATGTCAAACAAACTGTTCCAGCAAAAGTTGAAGGCGCCGTCATATTTGTAGTAGATTGTACATTCTAAAATCATTAACATGATTAAGTCCTTTTCTGTAGAAAATTCTTGAATTTTGAAACAATGAGTTAATTGCTATTAAAGTGTTATTAGTAGTTAAGGAACTAAAATTGACTGATTATGTAACATGTGAAAGGAATAGTATTGTGATAAATCAAGGCTCCATTTAGTGCTTTGTTACTTGCACTGGTGCAACCCAATTTTACAAAGTGCAACCTAGTTATTAGTCTAACTTGCAGCAGGTTCAAATCAATTTTTGAGTGGGTAAACTTCTGAATAAAATATCTAAATAATTCAATAGCATATTTCTGATATTACATATTGCAATAAAAACAGTGCAACTGGAATTTGACTGGTGCAACAAGGTTTTTATCTTAGGTTGCACCTGGTGCAAGTGGGTGAACATCTCTTAAATCGAGCCCTGTAAATATTAATGCAAACCTTCTTCAGTCCCACCGAGTTTTTTCTCTCTGCAGAATAACTATCCATGATGAGAGCATGTAATACCAACATGCTTTTAAACAATGCCTTTCAAACTTATGTTTCTTTTTATTAAACTTTATCATGTTTATAATTCTCTACAAATTCAAACTGATCATATTCCAGGGTGGTCTGAACCATGTAAATAAACTGCATATACCACTTTGATATACTACTGCATTGTGAGACTTGCAATTGTAGAGTTGTCATGGGGGTGAAGTTATTCAGTGAATTAGCAGACTTAACAAGACTGGCCGCAACCTGTGTACTGTGGACCATTAGTTTCTCGATTGTCTGTGGAAATCTTGGATCAAACTATTCCAACAGGTGTTTAGGAATATAATTGGTTAAAGTTTTTGTTGATTCAGAGAGCGAAGGATGGCTTCAAACAAACTTACGCCGAAGACCCAGGTTTGATTCCCCACATGGGCACAATGTGTTAAGCCCATTTCTGGTGTCCCCAGCTGGAATATTGCTAAAAGTGGCGTAAAACTAAACTCAGTCAGTCAGTCAGTCAAACAGACTTAATGGTACAAAATAGTTCTCAACATCAGCTGTGTGGAATAGAGCAAATACTGCCTGAAATGGTTTCATTTATCTGGAAATCTGGTTTCCAGATCTGGACAGTGAGTTCCTATTACCAACAATGCAACATACACACTTCCGTGTCCCACTTAGTGGACAGCCACTAATGATCAGGGATGATGTTTGTCTTTCAGTTCATCACCTGGCATCCAGCCTCAAAGGAATGGGTATCATGTACCCACCACCGTTCATTTAATTCGGGTTATTTGAAGTGATCATGGCATGTCCAGAGTGCAATGGAAACTGTCTGTAATATATTTATTCATAATGGTAGGATATGGTCTTGTGCACAGCACACATGGTCATAAAGGTGATGTTCAGCAATGTTGGTTGAAGAGAGTCCTGGTTGGGTGACTGGTTGGTTGCTTGTCTCCTGGGAGTTTTTAGGGCTTCAGTTCTGTCTCATCATTAAGCACATGTGGTTGTTGATTGGGCTGTTGACTTTGTTTGAAGTGTGCCTCTGTTCACCCATCAGTGAATGGGTACCCAGTAGGTTGAGATGACAATGAGGCTCTTAACCTTCTTAGCCTCTCAGAATGTTATTATATAATATATATTTGGAGTCAAATTTTGCAATGTTGGAACATATTATTTCTGATATTATAATTGTTTCATGTGCAGATTCTTTTGCTTGCTCGCCAGAATTAATTATATCCTGACAATATTTGAGAAAATAAAAATTTCTGTATAAGTTAAGTTAGACGGTATATGAAAAAAATATTGTTCCTTAAGTCACATTTAGTATATTCTCAGGAAATTTGCAGGGTATCTGTTACTGCATTGCTTTGTATACCAGAATCTACAGAAGAGAAATTATATGATTCTCAAGTATTGCTTTCTATACCATCTGTCGTGCACGAACACACACTTATCATGATTATTAATACAAATCTGAAGTATTGATGCTCATACAGTATGTAGTACTGTGGATCCATGGCTTATTCTGTCAATTAAATATTCATACCACAAAATAACCAGACAATATTTATTTGAAAGCTTGAAGTTAAAAGAACAGTTTTCCAGGCTTTGAGTTTGAATGTATTATAGGTTATATGCTGTGAAGGTCACATGGGCACCAGACAGTGGATTTATTCTCTACAACTTATACATTTTACATCAACCAATCATAGTCCGTGTAATGTGGTTGAACTAAGAGCTCTAAATGGAAAGTCTACTCTCCAGATACCTACTTTCTTTTGTCTAATGACTTGTCATAGCAACAGAAGACCACATCAGTTGCTCTGCTGTTTTCATACTTTGAACTGTGTCATGCAATTTTAAATATCTTTCATCATGTTCATCTCTTCCATGTCCTGGCTTTACATTTCAAGGGAGCTATTTTTGTGGGTGATTGATGAATTATTATCCTGTAAGTCTCAGACATTATCAATCATTTCCCTTTTTCCTTTCTTGTTTCTGTTTTAATCGTCTAACTTGGCTATCACCAGACCACCACTGATCTTCAATGCTTCAGCAAGTTTCTGTTGTTGCCATGACAACGAATGTAATCCATGCTCCGAATCCATAACAACGAAATGATATTGTGATAAGTGATGGTAGAATGGGATTGAAGCAATGTAGCAGAGGGCAGGATTACTACAACACATATTGCAGGATCATTTTATTATCCAAAAGAGCTTAAACCAATCACACAAAGGGAGGTTACTCTTGGTACAGAGAAGGTTGGGATACAATAACAGCTTTTTTCTTACAGAACACGGGAGAACGCCACGAAGAACCCTGCTCATTAGGCATAGAATGGTAAGCTGGTGGTTTTGTGCCAAGATTTTGAGGTGTCTGTAGCTAACAGTACTATTGTTAATATTCTGTAGTTGGCATGGTTAGCAATGATCTTTGTGATGCCACCGAGAGTTCAAGGATCTGTGTTTACTTGGCTTATGAGGGTAGCCTGACATTGGCTTAGTTGTCTTAGACAACAGGTGAACATGTGTTAGAGGAATGGTTGTGATAACTGGGTCTTGGGTTGGAGCATTTACCACCTCTTCACTGGACACAGACTGGTGTCTCTTGAACTAATTTAACATCAGTTGCCAATTATAATGATAATTGTGATGACCTGTCTACATGTTTTTAAAAAAACCAACCCTTTTTTAGCCCTGTCTACATGTTTTTAAAAAAACCAACCCTTTTTTAGCCTTTCTATATATTCTAACCATGCGTCAGTTTCAGACTGTCATTGCCAACCCAAACCAGAGGATTTGAATAGAATCTAACTATTGCATGTACATGATAGACTTTCATGAAATTGATTTTGTGTTATGAACATCTATTCAGATCATCATTTCCAAATATGCCTAAGGACCGTGAATAAGAATTTCTTGCTTGTGAGCTTATCATGTTCAAGTGTCAGGAATTCCAAACTAAGTGGCTACCTAAGAAATGTATTGAAAGTTTGTTCAAAATTGGAATGTTTTTAAAATTGTTGATTTATTATATGTTGTTGTTGAATCCAGAGGTATTTTCTTGTTAAAAATACAAGTTCAACATAGATTACAATCCTGTATGGCTAAACTAAGTATTTAAGCCTCTTCCTCTATATTACTATTAGTCCTAATCAGTGAAAGACAAAACACTTACAGGCACTGAACATTACTTAAGACTAAGAGCTTAACTATATGAATTTGACAATGTTAAATTCCAGTTTGGGAAGTTTTACTTACTAGTGGTGGTGGTCCGAGTTTTGAAATAATCGAAGATTGGTCGCAGTGACTAAACGACCAAGCAATCGAACGTTTTCTCATAATCGAACACAACCAATCTTGGAACACTTGTTTGCATCAACAATATTTTTCACAAGGTTGCTTTTGTCTGTGCCATTAAATTTACATTTCATAAGCACAACAAGCTCGTTCCAAGTCATGATTGAATTTATCTTAAAGAATCCAGGAAATCTGTGTTTCTAACATACTAATAATCCTTTAAATATGCGAAATTTGCAAATGGATTTTGTTTAATTTGAAAAAAACAACCCAAATTACTACATGTTTTTTTCTTTATTTTTTACAAACCTTGATTTGATAAATGACGCTAACCAATTATTTTCGATGATTGATCGGTCATAATGGACCAATCATCAATTATGAGATTTTAACCAATTCCCAACACTACTTACTAGGTACAGTCCTAGGGATGAATATCAACCACTAATCAGTTCTAGATAGGTCCCTATGAGACGTCTGTGCCCTGGAGATTTCCTGTGTTATGTACATGACACGGTACATTCAATAATACTGTTCATGTAATATATATTCACAAGTCTCTCTGCTTCAGCTACGTAACCCATTGAGGGATTCTGAGTTATAATCAGGGCAACACATCCACGAGGTGGAGAATATAATACATATCACGAATATTGGTTAATAAATACAATAACGTGTCAGCAGTTGATGTACTATTCAGTATATTCAGTGAAACAATAACTAAATGTGATTACCTGATGATGGGGGGACCAGAACAAGCCCTGAAACGTTATACTCAAGAATAAAAAGAAGATGTAACCCAGAAAAAATCTCTAGGTTCAATAACTAAATACATTATTTGACAGCATTAATTTATCCTGACAATGACCAGTGACCCCATTAGTATCCGATTAAATATATACGTGTTCAGTATCACCCTGACTTGGCTGGGAATATTCCATTTAGCATGTCTTGTGATAAATAACACTGAAATTCACGTAAAACACTTTTTACAGAAAAATAAAATGTCGTGATTCTATTGATCACAAATAATGAATTGATTTCATGGGTGATATGGTTTAATTCACTGAGTAAGTGCGTGAATCATAACAGCCCTAGTAAGAATTGGTTCCAAAGGTTCCTAAGGTTCCTAAGGCACCTTAGTAGCACCAGGTGGACACCTGAGAATGCCTTAAAGAGTATGATATCATGTAGTGACAATTCTGTGTGGTGATAAATTGAAAGATTTCTATATCAAATCATTATTCATGCTAATTATTTGCAGGTTTTGTCAGAGGGAACCCATTGTGCCAATTCAGTGCAATCCATTTTAGACCTATATACGCTGAAAAAAGATGATAATATCATACTCGATTTGGATGAAAATGATGAGTTAAAATGCACTCCAGTTTGTTGGGTTAGAGGGTTAGGATAGGTTGGGTCGGGTAACCCGGAAACGGACGTATTTTTTAATTATTGGGTTTCACACTGGAGGCATGCCACCATACCTGTATACCGGATTGATGCTCACAATATCAGTCAGGTTCAGATTATCTGCATTCATACAGCTGGAATATTGCTGCATGCAGCATTAACCCAACCCACCCCACCCCACTCTCTCACTCCACCATCTCACACATAACTTAACACATGCTAGAACATATTAAATGGCTTAATCATGTTCATGGTAATAATAATATGTTTTGTATTTCTTATTTTTGTCTACATTGTAATGTCCAAAGGTCATTTAACTGTTAGCCATTTGTCAGGGCTATGTAGAATCTGGCTGGGGATAGTCATTGACAGATACTTAAGTGAAACCCACCACCATTAGTCCATGCATGGCCTTTGTGTGGAGACATTCCTGGGCAGCCATGCGTGCTTCTGGTCAGGTGATAGGCAAATTTTGCAGCTCAGTTGTTGACACCACACTCTATAGCAGTACAATACATTAATACATTTAAATCAAGAGTGAGTGAGTATGGTTTTACGCCGCTTTTAGCAATATTCCAGCAATATCACGACGAGGGCACAAGAAAAGGGCTTCACTTTAAAACAAGACTTGATGCATGTTAATAGTCCATTGGAGATCCGATTGATCTTTTCAGATCATGGCAGTACTTTAACTTAACATTGATAGTCATTCTTTTTATTAAGATTAAGAAGTCGTATGTCTGTCTACTTTCCAGTCTATTTAGTATCGTTGTTATATATACTTACCATTAAACATTTTAATGAGCTGGCAGGCATTTTTGTGTTATTTCATCAAGAGCACTGAAATCGTTTTAAGTAAGCTGTACACTAAATGATAAGTGTATTGTTGTCTGTGGAATATTTTTATCCAGGGCATTTAAACACAGCGTTTATCGTTTATGTGAAACTTTAAAAATATAAATATCATGTTTTTGTATTTACATCTTCCCCAAAAGTTCTTTCCATCTCCTTCAATTTTCCATAAAAATATACAGGTATACAGGTACAGCTTTGTTGACATTCTATTGCTAATATAAGTCTTGGACAGACAAGGGCTAGAGTTTCTGTGTTGCTTTCTCTTTATTTTCCCCATGTTTTTAACTAGATAATATAGAAGCTTGATGTGTGTCTTCACATGCAACAGTGTTGTCTACAAGGTGACTCTGGCATTGCAATGGTCTAGGATTAAAATAGCGGAGTAGGCGAGGGAGCTCATGTGTTGGGCATGTGTAGGCTACAGCGGAGTGTTTACATCATGTTTGTACTTGGCCACAGTCGGTGTATATCAAGGAGGAATTTCTCCCCTGAGTCGTGATATGTCCCCTCTATTGCTAGACAGGCACTTGAGTTTACCTGTGTCAATGCACTGTCACTGGTGTAACAGTAGAGACTTGATGGACGTGAAGGTCCTTGATGTAGTGGCAGTGGGCAGCTGTGAGGGCTAGGTAAGTGGCTCTGACCAATTACCACTTGTTTTGGTCCATCCTGGGGTCTTACAGATAGGAGCCAGGTTTGTTATGACCCTGGTGATCAGGTGAAGCTTCTCTTGAGGTGATTTAACATGCCAGAGTCGCGCCATGGATGTTTTGCACTGGATTTATCATGTTTGTTTAGCATGTTGGTATGAAATGGTGTTTGAATTGTGTTAGTGACACAGCCTTTATCCTAAAATAACTTCAACTCTCTTGCACAGTTCACTGTGTAGCCTCAATTTCAATTGCACAGATTTTCCTTTTTTGGGTATTATTAGGTAAGGTTACTGGCTGTGTATAGTTTCAGGAAGGTTTCCGGCTGAAGGTTGAAACACAAACTGATGACAGAGACTCAGTGTGTGCAAATTGTGTAGTAGCTTTCTCCAATATGTTCACAAGAACAAATATGAACATTGTTTAAGGTTTTACCAGCAACAATCTTGCATCCATATGCATACACATTAAGAAGGGATGCAGCTAATTGAAACTGCCAGTCCTTGGAGACACAAAAGTAAAGACTGAATAATTATATTTATCTAAAATGTAGTTGATATAACTAACATTTCTTTTGTGGTCATACTCAAAGTTAGGGTGTCAGTGGGTCAGTCTAACATTAGAATCCTCATCTTAAACGGTATTAAGGCTTCTGAAAATGTAAATGGTATAACTAATATCGTGTCGAAAACAATGGGCAGCGTGTCAGAGGTAGCCTGCTTACGACATCCATATTCATACCTTGGACCCATGAAATGTGTTACTGAGTCTGCTGGATGTAAAATAGATGGTAAATCCCTTGTTGATGTTAACATGGTAAAATGTGTAGATCTCATATCCTTGCCATGTAGGCAGTTCTGGTTATCCAATTGTATGTTCGAATACATTCATAATTTGATAAGGCTTCGGAAGTTGTTTCCTCCAGTGTTTTTTAGTTCTAACCTTTATCATGTCTCCTTTCGTAATCCTTTAGCTTTAGTCAATTTATCCAGTTTGACATTATCATTCAATCAATAGACATTGTTATAGGATGCATGTACAAATTTGAACAGGAGTATTTAGATAAATAATTAATTGCTTCCGGGATTTTTAGCCAGTCTCGCTCAGTGTGACCCATACTCCT